AAACAAAACAAAAAAAAGTTTGAGACTGGTTTTCTGTTGAAATTCGTCTTAATTTGCTTGTTCCGATTTTAGTTGAAAATGAGCACTTGTAAATTTGGCAATTACTGACTGCGTTGCTTGCTTTTTGGAGTTTAAACACAGGCATTTGCACATTGTTTCTATTTTGAATATTAAAGGAGAAAAAACCCCGCAACATTTTAATGCGAGTTTTTTGTTAATATGAAAAGGGACGTTTTACAAAATACCGGGCCTTGCTTGCAGGCCCACTATCAGTCCCCTGGGGCCTACACGCGGGCTAATGAAAGCAATTTTATATCTTTTCTCACTCTTGCGGCGATTTTTTTAAGCGAAGTGAATTGAACCAATCAGATGGTTTCACTTTATAACCAATCATGTTGGGTTTCGGATTGGATCGCGCGAAAAATCTCTCTTTACTGCGCACACTCAAGAAACAACAAAAAAATTCATTCAAATTATTTTTACATGAAGTAGCCTCAAACTGGTTTGCGAGCTATATTTTAATTTTTAAAACAAAACAAAACAAAACAAAACAAAACAAAACAAAACAAAACAAAACAAAACAAAACAAAACAAAACAAAACAAAACAAAACAAAACAAAACAAAACAAAACAAAACAAAACAAAACAAAACAAAACAAAACAAGATCAAAATATCACAAAAACAGTTTTAAAATCGTGGAAAATTTGTATTTATTTGTATTTTATAAAAGCTTTTAAACAAGATATTATAATACATGTGATGCACGTCTATTACTTGGCGAGAATTCATCTGTAAACGTACATTTTACATCAAACAATTCATTGTTGGATCAAATTCGGTTGCATATATAAAATCAATTTGTAAAATTGTTTATAATGTTGTTCTTGTGGCTCATTTGTTTTCAGAAACGGACGTAAAAATCACCAGAGGTATGCTTGTGATTTTAGCAATTTGGTACTTAGTTCTACATTTATAGAAAAGAGTCAGGGATCATGACTGGATGACATCAAAACAATGAAAAGATAATGGAATATTCTGATCAGTGGATCATGACTGGATGGCATGGAGAATAGTGGGATTTTCGAAAACAATGAAAAGACAATGGAATATTCCGGTCACCGAATCGTAACTGGACAGCATCAGTGGAGAACAGTGGGATTTTCAAATCAATGAAAAGACAATAGAGCATTCCAGTCACTGGGGCCTGAGTGGATGACACTGCTGTTATGAGAAATGTTATATGATGCCATAATTAACATTGTTTTTGTTTATCATATGTAGTTGCTGACAAGTTGTCGGAAACAGTACATTTGATGTTAAATGATCCGTCAACGGGTCTCAATTCAAGAACACGTGAAACGATCTGTGCCTACTCTTGTTGAGAAAAAGGTTGAAAAATAATCCAGAAAAGAAACACATTTGAAATAACAAAATATGGTGCACAATATTTTAGGTTAATATTTTATTTAATTTGCTACATATATTATTTAATTTGCTACGAAATAAAAATTGTTGGTTTGTTATACACTCATCAGTGTCAATGCATTTGACCATAGTTAATAGAAATAAACATGGTTAAGCAGGCCGGTAAACTTGAAAGAATTTCCTATTCAAACTTCAACTGATGTTGAAATGTAATTCCGAGTGCACACATCTTTTGTCTTGCGTTTATTAATATTCAAATATTAGGGTTCAGCGATTGAAACTAACCTTTTTATTGGGTAATAGCCTCATTATACAGAATCCGAGTGCACAAATTTCCATAAACTTGGACAAAAACATAGAACAATGACTTTTGTCAAGCTTTCAAACCATGTTTACCTTCTATTAACTATGATTTGACGTTGCATGGTCACATCCCATGTGTAGCACATTATGTAAACACTTGAGTGACTTCACTACTGAAACACATTTATTCTATTTTACCCAAGGAACGTTTGAAAAGTGCTATTGCATCAAAAACAAATTTACAAAGGTAGGCCAGAAAACATATAATTCATCGCTCTTGAAAAATAGTCTGACACCATAATTGTCCTAAACAGTTTGTCTTGAGTATGAAAGATTAACTTCTTCACAGGCAGGAGAGTGCTGAAACGTCACCAGCGAGCTATCAAGAACCAATACCACAGGAAGAGTGTCTTAAATTAATGGTCCTGAACAAGATGACCCTATTGAGCTATTGGTCATAATAAAAGTGAGATTTAAGAATCCAATAAAAAACATGACAATTAAAATAACCAAACTTCTCTGTACAAGAAATATACCACGGTCAAATTTTGCCACAGTCTTCTTGTTCTTTAATGGACCATTTGCATTATAGACTAAATTTTGATCTAGACAAAATTAGAGCATCACAAAATTAGTAATATTCCGAAGTTTCGATGTGAAATGTTGTAAAATGCGGATAATATAGCCTTGCAAAGTTTGCAATTTTCAGTCATTTTGTATTACAAACGAGAAATTGATGCCCCAACACCCATTGGCAATTGGGCTGTCGATTTCCCGTGCGTAATACAAAATAACTGAAAAACGGCAAACTTCGCATGGCTATATTTAGTATATTATCCGCATTTTACAACATTTTGCAACGAAACTTTGGAATGTTACTAATTTTGTGATGTTGTTTCAAGCAGTGATGAAATTTTTGTCTATATCAAAATTTAGTCTACAATACAAATGGCCGAATCAAGAAGAGTTAATTACACACTGGGCAGAGACTCGTGATTCATCTGCCAATGACACTGATGAATAGTGAATAATTTAAGCCAATCAATTAATGTGAGTTGAAATTATTACTACAGTAAATGCATGAAATAAACTTCAAATGTAAACTATTAATTTTGCTTTTCGATCTTTGTGATTAAAATTATAATATACGAGTCAATGTCATCTTCAGTAAGATGATTACTTGGTGAAACCCAAGTCATTCTCAATGTCTCATGCTTAAGCTTCCACATTTTTTAAGTCACTACCAAATACCTAAAATATACAAATGATTTTTGCCTTCAAAGATTGGCGAGGAACCGCCATACAACGAGATACATGTCCGGCGGCGACGACGCTCTCGAAAGAAAAGATGACACGCAAAAATCCAGGTGCTGGAATAGGAGCATTCAGCACAAAAATCCATGTTTCTGAACAAAGCGCAAATATCAATCTTCATCTCAGTTGTGCTTGTGATATAGATAGATCCCGAGGATTTAATGACTATAGAACTATTTGTGTAATTGGAAATTTAAGAATAAACTTAGTAGTTGTCGAATATGTAAATAAAGGAAAAATTAATGTGAAAAGAATTAAAGAAATTACATGTTGACTGTAATTATACGCATGGTTCTATGACGAATTCTAAATTGAACAAAGGTGGAATTATCACAATCGATTGTCATCAACACTCGATTCGGGGCCGTAGCTAGCATGTATAGTTGGGGGGGGGGGTGTAGGCCAAACATTTCCGAATGACAAAAAAAATTCCGAATATTTCATGGCATACGAAACCACGAAGGTGTTTGCTATCCGGAAAATGAAGACGCGATTTACAAACAAAAATACGCATATTTTACGCACAGACATATTAAAGTAGCATGCAGTGCCGTAGAAAGTTCATTTTGATTGAGCGTTGAAAACAAGGGCCGACGGTCCGAGGAAATTTTTAAATTCAGAGTCTCTAAAATGCCATTTCCCGGACTTTGGAGAAGTTTTGACAGAATTCTGACAGACATATTAAAGTAGCATGCAGTGCCGTAAAAAGTTCTTTTTGTGTGGGGGCTGAAAACGAGGGCCGAAGGCCCGAGGAAATTGTTATATTTAGAGTCTCTGAAATGCCTTTTCCTGGACTTTGGGGAAGTTTTGACAGAATTCTGATGGTCAGAAAACAGCCTTTTATTATGTTGAAATTTACAATTTGCTTACAATTTAGTTGTACTAAATGAGCGAAGGCGTATTTAATTAACTATATATATTGGAGAAGTTGCAGGAAAGTATGGGTAATGATGATACTCTTTGCAGTTTGTCATGGATAATGTAGCCGCTTAAAATTAATCAATTGTCAGTATTTTAATTGTATATTATTTAAATGATAGAGGTCTGCCTACGGCCCTGAGAAGTTATAAACCGAAAAACACCGATTTACGATTTGTTAAATGTTATCCCATCTAAAAGTTATGATTTCGTAAATCAGTTTACACTGACAATACAATTTATAATTATATTATATTTTTTCTGTTTAACAACTAACATTTTGTTATTCTATTATTGCCGTAATTTTCCGAATGGCCAAACTGATTTTCCCAATATGTTAATTCTAAAAAAGTTGGGGGGTTAACCACCCCCGCAATACCCCCCCTCGCTACGGCCCTGAATCGAATAAACGTACTGATTAAATCTAGACACGTCCACACAGTGTGACACAATGGTTCTTTCCAAGAAGTGGCCACGTGTTCAAGTTTTTATTTGACGGCCAATACGAAGCTAGAAGTAGCAGAAAAATCAAAACATCAAGTCGCATTTGTCATTTGATCACATTAACAATACCATCTCGTAATTTCTTCAATCATCTGTTTTATTTTTATCAATAAACTTTTTTATATAGATTTAGACAAATATGATAGCGATAATAAGTTTATTAAAGAACTACGTACGTTTCGAAGTCATCTATGACCTCATTTTCAAGCTCAAATTAGTACAGAAAATGATCAAATTAATATGAATAGCGTTTACAGGTAAACTACGTGAAGCGTTCCTCTTTTGAGTTCCTAAGTTGATTGGAATTTTCGTCATTACCTTAGCAAATTTGCAAAACTCCCTTGCAAATCCCTCGAGGGAATTTGCAATGTTCTTAAGAGCCAAATAAATTTTCCTCAGTTTCTGTTAGAAGTTCTTAACTTCCTGTTACAAGTTCTTAACTTCCTGTTCTGTTCTGTGCGTTGCAATTGGCCAACAAAAATAATCCACCAATGAAAACGCTCAGAACAGAACAGAACAGAACAGGGAGTTAGGAAATTAAAACAGGAAGTTGGGAAAATTTGAAAGGAACTTTCTTTGCGTTGAAATATTGCAACGGCCGACAGGAAAATTGCAAATTTCCTCAAGGGAAAATTCCAAATGAGTTAGGAACTCAAAAGAGGAACGCTTCACGTAGTTTACCTGTAATATGACAGTTGCAATTTTAAGCACTCTAAGACCTTTAATTAACATAATTAGAATAATTAATCAAAAACTCTTTTGAAAATAATTTTGAAACATGTAAATTGAATAACAAACAATTAAACAAACAATAAAATAAAACAACACTAGACGAACAATTATGCTAAAATCGGCAAGTGTAACCGACATAATCATTCGCAAGACTTTAACCAGTGCGTTAACATCCCTGGCAAAATTTTTGGCCAATAATTTAAGGAACCGAACCTTGGCAAACAAGTGGAAATTAAAAAAAAACCCAGACCAATCTTGGAACAAATGGCAAAAGTAATGCGCAAGATCACAAGTCCACGGACGACGCAGTTTCCCTGAGACGCACAAGATCCCATGCATGCAGTGTTCCAGAATCAGAATTTTGCCGCTTGCAATCCACGTTCTGTGACCTCAAACGGAGTGAGTTTGTTCCATATTGTTTATATACTTCTCTAATATAACGTTCTTGAATTTACTGCTATTACACTAGTAATATATAACTTTATCTTGCTCTTCTGCTGTCCTACATGAGTCACAATTTGTATTGTATTAGTACGCTATGCATTCGCGCCTACTCAAGATTACGTGCTATCCTATTATCTCCAGTTGCATGCTATTGCTACTTTGTTTAATTTAATACCATACAAACAATACACGTAATTAACTGCATATTTAAATTAATATATGTGGTTGGATACAACTCTCCATTCATTCGCCTTGCTTGTATGCGAACTCGTGTCGCATCCACTATTCGCTCAGGCGGGAACTATTTTGGTGCATTACCCCGAACTGAAGTCAAATGAACATGCAGTTCACTCATGACCGGAATCTTAGGCTCGAGATGTTATAACAGCTGTAATACAGCCTTATCGTACTGCTACCTTATGCTCGTATCTAAAGTATGTACACGAGTCACGAATCATTTGTCATGTTTACTGCATTTCACCTATTTTCCTGTGCACTAGTCTTAACACATTTCTAGCTGTTATTATTATTTATTATTATTTAATCTTCTTTAAAAAACAACGGTGGCCCTTCAGCATACAGATAAGAGCTGTTTTCCAAGGGGCCGTTCCACAAAACATATTTACAAGAAAAAAAGTTTGGGTTAATAATTACAATTAGTATATAGTTACAAATTACACATTGCACATTACACATTACATATTACACAGTACACCACATAATATGATAAGACTTAAGTATTATGTTGAGGTCTGCCCCAAGCAAGGTTTTAAATGCGTTTAATGACAAGCAATTGCTTTTCAGCAGCCTAGACCTAGGCCTTCTAGTCTTATTTATATTGTTTTAATATTCAGCGCTTTTTCACATGAAAAGACTGGGACTAGATGATTTGGGGGCGGGGCGGAGGAAGCAAGCCTAGAAGTAGGGATGGGCGATACCAGCTTTTTCATTCGATACGATATTTACTCGATATTTGCCATTTTTTTTCGATATCGATACCGATGTCGATATTTTCCCAACTCGAACAACCACAACAAGAAAAGACTATTTTCATTTCTTCGACGCCAAAATCATGCTGGTTGAATACGTTTTCAACACGTTTATTTTCATGATTGTAACTAACATAATTAACCACAAACTCTGATCCTGCCCGTGGACCATTAAGCACCATAGAAAATGAACTATTTTGATAGTATTTACGCCTATTTAGGCTTTTTGGCATCATTTTCATGATGAATCCGCTCACCACAATGACAAAATATCGCAGGCTCAGAAGTATCGAAACAATCGATATTTCCTGCCTGTATCGATACTTCAAAACCAAGGTATCAATAGTATCGAGTATTTGGTATCGATATCGGCCCATCCCTACCTGGAAGGCCTAGTGGATTTCCCAAGAACAAGGCCAAAACTACCCTGAAACTGCCCTGGTTGCGAAATGCCCAATTTATTGCGTTCTCAATCAGAATTATTTGCAACTTAACGGCGAATTTAAACCGATACAGGTAAAATAAACTCATTTATAGTATAAACTTACTATTTTTATTTGTATACACGTCTAGAAAATCGGGGTTTTTATCATAAAGTTCGAAGCA